ATGATAGTATCAAGACAAATATGATAGTATCAAGACAAATATGATAGTATCAAGACAAATATGATAGTATCAAGACAAATATGATAGTATCAAGACAAATATGATAGTATCAAGACAAATATGATAGTATCAAGACAAATATGATAGTATCAAGACAAATATGATAGTATCAAGACAAATATGATAGTATCAAGACAAATACAGACAGCTCATAAAATCCTGCCAATATGTCTCATATGCAAGGTTGGATATAACAAAAAAATATTGTTGATACATTTTCCTTGAATGCAAAACTATACATGTCCAATATAACAGCACAGTCGACGTAGATCTAGCAACAACGACAACTGAAGTAATGTGATTCCAGATAAATTAAACCTTTGCATTAATATAACATATATAGATCAAATCTGATTGATTGACGGATTGATAAGATGGAGAGATATTAAATTGTGTTATAATATTATATTGTACAAATGTTATTCCCAGTCACGCTCATTGACTCATTTATTACATTGATTCATTTGAACACGAGCGTTTAATTTTGCTACCTGTACAATGTTGAAACAAAATATGGTAGTTGTTATTATACAAACCTACCAATATGCAGCGACCGCTCGTTAATTAACATCATGGATGCACGTCACGGCACCTGTTAACAACAACAACAACATATATTTAAGTAATTGCGCACGGAATGCTCTGAATGAAGACGTATTGTCCAGCGGTGTACTAAGAAACGAGGTCTGAATCGTAATGTTCTGGTGATAACATTATACAGCGATGGGTAGTTTTAAGCATGAAATAAAGTTATACTTATTATTGCTATACTTAGCGTGCTCCAAACATTTGTTTTCGTATGAAATTATTACTTTAAATTAGAGAGAAAGATCATAGTCACAATGTTAGGTTGAATTGATAGTAAGGAGTGGTAGTTTAATACGTCAATAAGAAGAAACTATAATTATATTCTTTACTTCATGAATTATTAACTTCAGCCTATTATTTACAAACAACTCAGTTTGTCGTATTTGTGTTTCTGCTCCTTGCTACGTAGAATTCGGATGATGTAAATTAGAATATCCATTATCTTGCCGAATTAACACATATACGCTCAGTGAAGATAGATCACAGAATGAATTCGATTCTATACACGTTGGTTCATCAATAATAGTACACCATTGTCTATTTTTGTGACATAATTGTAGTATATTATCACCGTAAAGTATAATACTTTGTGGCCTTTTAGGTATCAATATGCTGTTAGTCTATTACCATAAAATATTGTGACAGCCGAGTAGACTAGCTTTTAAAGGTGTCTTATAATGTGCCAAGTTAAATAGCATGTTATCTGCCGGATTTCTCGTAACAGAACGGAGGAATCGATAGATTAACACATGTTGTGATTATTTCAGGAATATACGTCACGTAAATATGTAATCGGAATTGATTAAATTTGGCAATTGTCATGCTCATTAGTATGATTGTTGCATCTATAAAATATTTAGAAGAACTTATATAATTAGTGCAAACATCAACAGTTAGCAGTTGAAGTATGTAATGATGACTTGTTACCCATCAGAAATAATCGTGAGATTAAGAAAAGCAGTATTTGCAGGAATATTTCTCTTTCCTTGGTCTATGGAGTAATACATTCTCAGCTACTATACAAGCGACTATATGACTGTTTAAAGTGGAACAGAACAAACTATTTTTTCGAAACATCTTGGTTTGAAGATAATATTTTTTATTGATTGATTACGTAATCGAATGTGAGTCGTTCGTTTGTCGTTTTGTGTTTTTGTCATCAGATATTGATCGGTATGATGATATATCTTACCTATAAACACAGTGTCTTCTGACGATTATGATTCTAGATGGCTTGTTCACGTTGTCATGATAATTTGTGTTGTTTTATCTTCCCTACTAAGTGTTTTTTTTAGATTTTCAATTATTGTGATGTACAAATTACGATAATATTAACCATGTACATGTAATAATCTATGAACTATATGTAAACAACAACTAAGTAATTGGACTGTAGACTAGAAACAAAGCCAAATTCAATGTTTCTATCATCTGTCAACATTCGTTTCTATGGCTTAAAATATTTATCTGGTAAATCGATGTTAATGCTGTTCACGCTCTCCTTGGCAACAGTTCATTAGGTTAAGTTGCATTTGATGATCACATTGTTATAATCTTTTTGTTGACCAGAAATTCTCAGTGATTATTAGATCATTTTACAGCGTTTATTGTAGCTAATTATGACAAGTAATTTCCGAGATTTTCTTTTCCTTTCGATAACATATGTTCAATATAGCGTGAAATGAGTTTGCTGCAAGGTTGATAATTATTATAGGTAAAGAAATATATATTATTAATAAGGTCTCGGAATTTCTCAAATCTGAAGCAACAGTAATGTGAATAATAAGGATATATGGTTACGAATTATTTTGCTCCTACTAATTCAGCCCTACATGGTGAATGTAAGTAAGAGTATTTGGAAGGAGCACTCAGTTGTAGTATGTAAAATTGTAATCGAAGCAGAATATTTTAATTTTTTTTTAATTATGAGCTATGTTCAGTATTTCCTTGACATATTTGTTAAAATCGTTGATTACATATTGTCACTACCACAATTCAGGAAATCAATTTTTGATAATACTGATTTAACTTAAGGTTTCACATCATAATCTATGTAGTTTGTGATAAAAGCGAGACTGTATAACAAAATAAATCGTGGGTAGTAACCACCAGACTGTTAGATAATGTTAACAATAAATTGCAAACCCTACTCCCATGAGTTGCATCACGGACTTTAGTCATACTTCTCTCCCCGGGGTTAATTGCTAGGTGATTTTATTGTGATGGGTCGCTGGAGAAATGAAAACGTGATTCTCGAGAATGCGTATTGGAGCTGCATGGGGTAATTTTTGGCAAAATATTTTTTTTCTATTTTATAAATCAATGGCATCTACCAATAAATCAACGATTGCCACAAGGAATCTTACGGCTTACGGTTTAAGTCCTCTATTTTTTTCTAATATACACACAGGAGACACATCCATGGCGAATCATCGGTATACATCCGAGGGTTTGATAATCCCGAGTGTAGTCTTCGATACACGTCTTCCTGTATATCTAACCAGTTTCAATTTTCAGTCATATAATATTAATCACTTTGAAAACTAGGTAGAAGAGCAGATGCTACGGTTTTTCGGGCGTTGCTGTAGGCGAACGACGTCAGTATAAATGTCAGATCATTAGAAGCGAGTTATAAACGTTTAAACACTGCTTCAAAATGTTATCACGAATCTCCTCAACAGAGTATTCATTAGTTGTGTACCACGTGGCATCTGCCTTCCATTTTAGTATTTATGCGCATAGTTTTATAACCTATTTTTGGCAACTTTGCAGATCCAATAAATTCAATTTGTATTGCAATCAGACATAAACGATAAGTGGGAATTGTAGACTGTTTGACTCGTCAAATGCGAGTGGGTGGAATAAGAATAGCAGTGACGACTTCAATGGAGGACTTATATTAGAATTTTGTATTCGGCAAAATAAATAATGTGTTATAAGACAATTCAACGTACGGGTTTATGCAAATGATAATTTGGCATCCAGCTACACATATATATCATGTGACGTCGAGACAGAATACGGGTACTTCTGAATGTGTGTTTCGTAAATTTAAATAATACTAACATGACTGTATAAATTTTAGTAGGTTCAATGCCCCCAACAACTATGTTGTGACTGCCTAGATTGATATCACATATGTTACATGTTTACGAATACGCTAACTGGGGAAGTCGCCGGAAAGACAACTCTCTACATTTGCTTGGCAAGCATTCTATTTCAGCGTTAGTGCATCGAATGATGAAGATGATATTCCTCCAAGGCACGTACTCTGGTGACTGATATATATTTTCAGTGATTGTATTTCAAACCTTGCCGACTTCACTTAATCCATAATATACATGTCTATGTATATACCCTTTAGGTCTAGTAACTTCATTTTAATTCAGTCGATTATGAAAGTATACCATGAAACACCCTACTTGACCCCCGATGCAACTAACAATATGCAATAGAAACGTAAAATGCCGAAAAGATAACATTGACACCCATTTCTGATGTTTCTAAAACTCAGATTCAGTGATTAAGATTCAGTGGAACACAAAACTTCTCAAATAATTTCCCTTTGCTTCAACACAATAACCAACTTTTACTATGTTTCACAGTTGCCACGAAAATAATTTGTATCCCTACAAAACAATGGTATCGCCCATTGATGGATTGCAACATGTAATTGCTAGACATGGCAACTGCAATGCTATTGGTAAGGAGGGGTGTTTGAAGTTGCGTGTTTTACCGTGTATTGTGTCATATAAGCTTCTGAAATAGTCGTCACATTTATTTAATTATCGGCATTTTGCGTTCCGGCTTTTTCTATGGGATATTAGAGGTTCCATCGAAGGTTCGTCCGTATACTGATGAGCGCGTTTGCTGTGTTTATATCTCAAACAGTAGGATAACACATTGAAGGCATTGTATTTGATTACTGTCCACTTTAAGTGGACTTTCTGCATCAGTTTTTTTTTTTTTTTTTTTTTTTTTTTTTTGAACGAACACATTGTATCAACTAATTAATTCATGCATATTACTCTTTTTATCGGCAGGTATTTTACTGAAATATATGACAATGCAGCATGGACCATATCAGCAGCACCATACGTCTGTTTGTTACTCTCTGTAAATATGTCTGCAAATCGTGAATATCATAGTAACTAAACACTTAATTTTCGGGCCTGATTGAGCGTACATAATGCGCATGTACATGACGAACTTATATGTATAATGTGTCGCCATGGAGATCAGTACGCGGTGGTCACGTGATCGTGTGCATATCAAGTAATGCGCTATAGCGTGTTCGCATACTTTTTCATATTCGCGACAGTTCAAATCAGGATCCCAGTCACTCAACGATTATGAACGTAACTACCATAACTTATACTGCTTATTCTAATGGATCTGAAACAGAGGACGACAGTGGTGACGTAATAGAATGGGACGGCGTCAAAGTATTTGCTATATGTTTTCTCTGTTGTGTGGACGTGGCCACTATCATAGGGAATACGTTCACACTTCTGGCATTTGGCACCGATAGCAAACTCAGAAATAATCTAAGCAACTGGTACATCATAAATCTATCAATTGCCGATCTGCTAGTCGGTGCTGTATCTTTGCCATTCGATATAGCTGCCTACGCCTACGACTACTGGATATTCGGAAAACACACTTGTCGCTTTTGGTCCGTTGTAGATAACATTGCCACAGTTGAATCAGTGTTTGCGGTTCTTCTCATCAGTTTTGACCGATTCTCATTGGTTACCATGGAAATACGCCATGTGACCATGCAAACTCGAAAGAAAGTGTTTTACCAGTGTTTTTCCACGTGGGTTTTCACAGTCGTGTTAATTTTTATTCTGGTGGTTGCATATCCTGCGTGGACTGGAGAAGTGTGGTTTGACTACGGCGAGGTGTGTGATGTGGAGTTTCTCTATGACACTGCATGGACCGTCTTCTTCGTTGTTATCACGTTCGTCATTCCTTTGATAATCCTTCTGTATCTCAATGTCACCATTTATCTAAATATCCACAAACGAACAACATCACGCGTTCAGCCGGCCAGCGGAACTAGTCAACTGTACAACACAGCTGTGAAAACACAGGTTACTCTTGTGAACCTCAATAACGGGCAAGCATCGGACGCGTTAAGAGACAGTGGAAGACGCATAAATGTATGTGAGCCCTCAGTTTCCGTCTACAACAATGGAGAGGAGTTTTCTGAAAACGCAAATAATCAAGAAAATGATACAACTCATAGGAGAGCAGCGCATCGCAAAAATAAAGGCGTAGACCACAAATTACAGAAGCGAAAAAAAGCTGCACGAACATTAGCTATTCTTGTGGGAGTTTTCTTCCTATGTTGGGCTCCACATAACCTAGCTGTTGTTGTTGATCAGCTTTGCAGCGATTACTGTGTAACTGACTTCGCATGGGTATTCGTCAGTTACCTCCAATGGGTGAATTCTACATTGAATCCCATACTCTACGCTGTGTGCCACCCAGGATTCAGAGAGAATTTTAAGAAGCTCTTCATGTGCAAATGTTCTAGCCGATGATAAATTCAAACTATTGCAACAGTAGTGAAACACAGAAATAAATAGTACAAAATCACGTTTTCAATACTGAATATGGGTATGGGAATTTTTTATGGCTTATGACATTCAGTATTCAGGGATTTTATGTGTGTTTTCAGATGCAAACACGTATTTATATTGAACTTTAAGTGCTCTTGATAACTCCACAAAGAATATTTCATATTCGGAGATAGCAGAGAAGATATTTTGTAATTATTCGGCCACAACCAACGTTATATTGCATCAATGACGACCTCGTCAGCATCTTTTAGATCTTACTAGCAAATTCCTTTCAAGTTTATTCTATATTGTGAAAAAACAGAATATAAAAAAGAATTCCATAGTCTGAGCATGCTTTACCATTACCCTAATGCCATTTCAATGATAGACTTGCAATACTAAAACCAATTATGACAATCAAATTAAATAGTCCCTTAACACGTATTTTAATTGTTTGTGTTGAAAATAAATTGATTATCAATTGAAAGTACTCGACGTTATCAGGTTCTATCTATTGCTGAGTAAACTTGCTAGAATTGGTATGGATTGGCTGGTCGTAGAACATCAGTGGGAATTTGCTGAATATCTACAGTTATTTTGTTCTAGTTATATATGGTAATAAGCGATGTATTAATATGTCTGGTTTCATTTATCGATGGAATTGAATTTATATTAGCGAAAACTCGTGTTACATTGCCCATGACTAATGTATTTTAGTTATTTATAGTCTTCATAAATTTCGATAATATCTTCTGTGAAGACTATTTGCAAACAAAATATTTAGTTGATTCGTATTTCTGTAGCACTATTATGTTATGTACTGCAGCGGCAGTATGTTGCGTAGTCGGCACTTAAAGCTGAATTAAAACGTTCACTCATGTTAAACTCCGCCTCCACGGAGAGCTTTCAATACGTTTTAATCGCCAAGAATCGACCGCATAATGTCTTTTATACGTTCAACACGGGTATATGCTCATATATCTTTATCTGGGCGGAAAAACATCCTTTGAATGAATCAGTAAACAAATCTGCGAGGTGGAAATTGGAGATTGATTTGAACATTTTACACCTACATACTGCTAACGATTACAGTTACAGCTCTTTCCACCACCCACGTAAGTTGAAGCGCTCTAAAAAAATACTGGAAACCAACTGGCAGCTAAATCTGGCACGCAATAAATGACGGCGGGGTAGCAATGAAAGCTAGCAGTCAGCACCAATTAACGGTGCCGTTAAAAGGCGTTTTTACCGAGCAATGGGATGGTCTGACAGTCAAAGTATATATTAAGCGTATCTGTTCTCATTAAAAAAAAAACTATACAATTGTAAAATAATTATTTCCAATATAAAACTCTACCATTCGCTAAACTTTGCTAATATATTCGCGCTATTGTTAAATAATCGTCATCTCGTGTTCAATCTACTAAATATTTTATGTTTACGGACCACCATCAAAGTTAGACTTCATTGTTCCAATATCCCACAAGGATTCCCTTAGTTAATTGAGGAGGAACCATTACACCACTATTATTGAAAATCTAATAAGGAGATATTGCTCTTTTTATGTCAAGATAAAATGCACGATAAAATCTGCTGCGGGGAGGCTTTTCATCGATAGTATGGAATATGACCCCATCGATTCTTATCAAATTATTTGGTTACCTGTACATTTCAGAATGAAATTCACAAACCTCATTCTAGTGTTTAAGACAGGTGGACACCTCTCAATTCATGTTTTAGTATAATAAACTATGACCAGATCACATGAATATTTATTATAAGCTAGTGCGCATGTTGCTGATTGTTAGCAAGGTTTGAACGGTAAAAGTACAAAAACAGTAAATGTCATATAGAGGCAATGTTATTTAATCAATGTACTGATTAATCATTGAAATAATCGTGCTTGGTGTCAAAACATTTGGAACATCCATGTTAGAATCTTACTGGCGTACCTCGAAAGTACGCAGGAAGTTTCATACGAATTCAGGAACGAAAAATACGTGACCGAATAAATATTACTATGAGTATATATATATATAGAAAATCAAAACTCAGTGTGCAGTGTGATAAGTACTTATTTAGTTGGTGTTATTTGATATGCGTTGGCTAACTAACGTGGCCACGCAACTCTGTATATACAATTATGACAAAAACCGAAATGATTGTTCATAGTAATGTTAAGGCCAGATAATTCAGTCCGTTCACGTTGTTTCTTTTTTGTTTTGTTTTGCATATATATGAGAGTATAATTATACAGAATAACGGCAACGTGGCGCTGGAGCTGGGATCAAATCACGTCAAATACTCACATGATGTATCATGTTCATTATCAGAAAAACGCGTTCTTTACACGCATTTGTTTCTATTAGTTTTCTTTATTATCGAACGTAACAAGAGTAGAAGGTAGAATAGTGCTTAAATTAAACATTAAACACTTCATAACCGCAACAAACTACCGCCATCTCTGAATACAAGTTATGCAATGTATATATATAATTAATGTGCTTGATGTCAAAGGGGCCAATTATGATCAATTTTGATGTTACAGTAATAACCGTTTTAAGTTGGATAAAATTGATCAATAGACCCATCTTATCTGACATAATTGTATTCCCATAGCTGAGGCTGGCATAGTGGTTTTATTGGCTTTTTCATGCAAACAAACATAAAGTTAGATATCAAAATCGGACCATTATAACAGATGTTATGAATTTGACCCTTCACGAAAAGTGAAACTATATATTTTTAAACTCTACCCGTCAAGACGAGTAAATTGATTTGAGTCTCAAAAGGATTGGACCATATTTGAATTTTGACCCCCAAAAAATTGTTGTTGGCAAAAAATTGATTTTTTAATGTTGGCATCGCCCCTGACGTGAAACATTACTATATAAGGACTTGATTTAGCATAGATGCCTGCTTGTAACAACAAATGCCGAAAAAATGTTGTTACTCCTTCTGCTGGCTGGCTGTTTGTAATATTTTTAGATGACAGGTATTATAGTTTTTATGCGTGGGAACATTCACAGACATTCATAATAGTAATTATTTATGAGCATTCATGGAAATATGAACAACCATGAGAACCATTCCAAAGCTAGAATGTGGTGAAGGGAGATAAAGCTAAGTATATAGCAAACGAAGTAACGCAGTATATCGACATATCTAATTCCTGGCGGTTATAACGCGGCATCGTTTTGTGCCGAAATGACTTATATATATTTAATATGTAGAAATATTTGTTTTAAATGACTGCATTAGGAGGAAATAACGCTGTATTTAGGCAAAAACGTGAATATTGAATAAGTTCAGGCTTGGTCACTGGGCGATAGTTTTATGCCAGAAAATATGTATATATTATTGATTATTAATAATCTCTGATATATAGTATAAACTGATATATAGTATGTGAAAATAAATTACTTTCTTTGGCTTGAAACGTGAAATTTTAATGAGTGGCTGGGAGAAATACTTACGATCTACTCTCGATTGGTATATATTATGTGAAAATAAATTTGTTTTTGAAGCAACTTCAGTTTGATAGATAGACACATTAACAATAATTGAAATAATTGCTAAGTTGAAAACGTGATTATGGAGAATGAATGCTTTGTCAAATGTAACTATATATAATAAAATACGAAATTATCGATTAATTGACAAAACGTCAAATGATGGCTGTAGTGCGAACACGTTTTGAAGTGATTGATACTATATCATTATACTTACAAAATGAAGGACAATGCGCGATAACGCTAAAGAATCCTTGAAAATAATTCTCTGTTCTTTCGTGCCAGCTTCACATTGGTTGGCCATGTTGGTTTCCGGGTTATTAATCAAAATAATGTGCCCTTCACGTCAGGCTCTTCGCGCCTTACGCTAACAATGTGCCTGATATCCAGTGATTTACATTTGAAAAAAAAACTGTAAAACAAGTGGTTTGCGTACCATGTAATGCGTTTCTAAGAATTATGGTGAACCATATTTGCTTTTCGTCATTTCTATATAATACTTGCTTAATTTATATAATTATCTTAGCCTTGAATTATATGTATATAAAACCCACACAGCATACTTAGAATACTGCACTGAATTTAATATCTGTGTTACTTCCTTTGTTTATAAATATGTTAATTGTTTATTTCCGATATATACAAATAATAATATTTTTTTAATTTATTATATATAAATTAATTATGTAGTTATTATGGTTACTTTCAGTATATATGATATAATTTGCGTGACAATAATCGTATACATATACAAAGGGTAATTGAAAAATCATTACATATAGCAGTGTATATTAATTCACGAATAGCACCCCGTACGAGTGAAAGCAGTTTGGGGAAATTTGTGTAGGAAGCACTTAACAAAATGTTGTGATAATAACACTGTTTATTAATAAATATTTCTGGTGAAGACACTTTTTAAAATGTGTGTCTAGTAAATGTAAAAGTGTTGGAATAATAAATACTTTTCAATACGTCTTTCTCGTGGACATACTTAACAAAATATGTTATACGCAAAAACAAGTATTTTCATCGTATACACTTTTCATAATTACGCAGAATATAAGTATTCTTTTAAATATGATGGTTTTAAATATGTTGTGTTGTAATATAAATCATTTGTGACTTAAAACACAAAAAACATGTAAAACAAATTTCTAATTTTAAAACACTGGATGGATTTACATTGTTAGGTACTCGTCGCGGGAAATGGGTTGATATATCTACCATAACAGTGAGAAGCTCTCGCCGAGAAACCAACAACAATTATAAGAAATTTGTATTAGAAAGAGTATTATACAACATGTTTGTTATGGCGACCCAAATGTGATTTACCCTGTGATCAATTCATCGAGATATGTGCTGTTTTAAATCCACAAATCACAGCTCTTTGCAAATATTCAGTTGTCAGCGCCGCCAAAGAGGATAGAAACAGTTACAGCGATGAGGATACTTTAGCTATAGAAATAATGA